ATATATATATATATATATATATATATATATCTCACTTAACGAGTTAGCAAATGAACATATGCAAAGTAAAGCATTCGAGAGAATGTTTAGGCTTATCTAAATATTGTGTGAGATTCTATAACTTCAATATAATGCACTTTCTTTGTATTAATTGATACAGTAACTTCCGCAGTCAATCCAGTTATATAAGTATTTCAAGTGAGTAGTATACATAATTTGATAAATGAAGAGCGAACTCAATTAAATGATAATTAACTTTTCGTATGTAATACGGTGTTTCGTAAACGTTAATAGCTGGCAAATATCCACGGGAATCGCAATATTCGTTAAGATAATACCGACCATGCGTGAATATCCGAATCACGCGTGCATCGATAACGTAAGTTGAATTACTACACATCGAGAATCAATGACTTTATTCGCGGGTTGCAACCATTCAAAATGACTTTAAGTTCGACTGAGCTTAGACCGATAATTAATTCCGGAATATTTAGGCAGCGATATAGCCTTTCTGCGAGGATGTAATCCGTCGCCCCGTGAGTTATGCGAGGATGCTATCCATCGCCCCGTGCTTACTCGAACTCTGTAATCAGACGATCGCATTTTATGATGACCTTGCGTTCATCATAATCCGCTTGAGAGTTGCCGATCAATTTCGTAAGTGATCTCTGATTTACACGAGTTCGATATGTTACCTGAAAGCATCCGCCGTCGCTATCTCTGGATAGGATGGTCATTATTGACCAAAACCGTGAGGGCCTGTGCAAAGGGCTAAGATGGCCGCTTCTTTCCGTTTTACCGAGGCCTCGTTGCAATGGCTAAGTCCTTCGTCCTTCCTTCAGTCGTATCTAGCGAGGTACTTCCAATCGCCTCTGAGCAGGGCTGCAATGCCTCCTCTGATGTTACGGAGACGTCCTCGTGATCTGTCTCAGACTCAATAGTCTGGCGGATTTCAATCGCGTAGCAATTAAACGAATATACGACGCCGTGTAAAGGAACGCAACTCTACGCCTCGCTAGCCGGAAGACGAATACCTTCCCGGCGGGCTTCCCGTTCATCCCGACACGTTCACGCTTGCGCAGTATCGTCGGTCCGTGCCTTTTTCTGGCGCTGGGGCGCAACGTCGTCGTCGCTTTCTAACAGTGTGCTTGCCATAAATATATTACAGCGTAATGAAAGCCATATCTATCTCTTCTAAAGTATTCTGAAAATTATTTACACAACACAATAAACCTATGTATGATTTTAATATCGAAGACAAAGCATCTTGTATTTTAAATATTTAAATAATCGTAAATATATGTATAATTATATTTGTGTATTATTGCGTGGTTACTACAAAAGTTAGATTATTTTGCTTTTATTGTCTAGAATATTATATCTTCCAATGACAACAAAATTTTTAATCACGTTTATAAAAAATACAAATATTAGGAATCACTAATTAAAGCACGATTTTACACTGTACTTATTTTATTACACTGAGTTATATTGTGCTATTTTAAAAATTCTTTGTATCCATAATTTTACAAAATAATTTATTTTTATAAGAATGAAAATGGCTATGAGGAAAGTTGCAACTAAATGAACATATATAGAAAAATTACATCTCTGTTATTCTCAGTCTATTTGATTATTAATTATTGAAAATTTTGTAAGTGTAGCAAATTTAATAATAACGAAAACGAATTATTTATACAAATTAATCGGGCTGAAATTGTAAAAACATGTATTTATATCTTTTTATCTTTTGAAAAGTTGTATCATATATCAAAAAGAGCTTCATTTTTAATTTTAGTTACGCAATTTTATCTTCTATGTATATAGATATGAAAGTTTACTTTGAAACATGTCGACAATATACAAGGAAAGTTGTTAGAGAGTCAGAATGCTTGTAAAACATTATATTAATACACAACACACCTGATATGCATATGAATGTAGCTTCTTGTTGCCTTAATCAATGTAACATGTACAATCAAAAGAAAAACGAAAGATATATTAATTCATAAGATTATACTTGTAGATACATAATAAAGTAAATAAAAACGTACTGTGTATTTTATTGTAAATTATTAATACATTTCATTGAGGAATAGTGTAAAAAAATTTATATTCTAACTTTACTACGTTTTTTAGAGATACATCTATCTACGAGACAATAATATTCGATTTATTTGACATCTATAAGAGAAAATTCATTTTAAATTAAATAAAATATGATTTATTTTATATTTGTACTTGGTTCAACTCTCAATTACAATTCGAATAATTGTGCTCTTCAAATTTCAAAATCTTCCTCGGCAGCTGGCAATATTACGGTCGTTGCAACCAAAGGTTTTGGATTTGCTTTCTTGCAGAGTAATATTTTAACTTTCCCTGATATTTGACCCTTTAAGTTTGCGCTAACAGCTAGTGGTGTAGGTACAGCACTTCCTTCAACCTGAGAAAAATAAACAATTATTTTTGAAAATTATTCCTTCTTTTCATTTACACCCATAAATAATGATTTGTCCCATGCTACACTAGTATAGCAAATCTGAAAGATACCCATGCTGTTCCATTTAGTAGATTCATATATTTATGCACGCGTATATGTGTATACATACATAACGCATATACATATTAAATGGAACAAAATAAGCATCTTCCAGACTTGCTTCACTAGTCAGGTATGGAACAAATCATTGTACAAGGATATATATCACAGTGTTGGCGCACACACACACACACACACACACACACACACACACACACACACACAC